TCTCACACTGCCAAAGTCACTGTCAAAGACACTGACATCTCTCACACTGCCATTTCTCACACTGCCAAAGACACTGACATCTCTCGTACATTTAAATGTGGAGTTGCTGTCCACTCCCAAGGAGCTGTAGGTAACAAAGCCTGTTTCGCTGCTGTCAATAATGTTGGTGATCCAGGCCTGGTACTGGGACACACGGGCAAATTCTCCAAGAAACATAGGCCATCTACAGCCGTCGCCAACGTTCTCAATTCCACTCTGGATCCACATCGAACCATTGTTGGTCACCAGTGGTGCCCCTCCGTCTCTCTGTGGAAATAAATTGACAGTTGTTGGAATAGGTTCAGGTATCTTCTAGTCTCTGAAGCACTCGCCTTTTATTTAGCATGTGTCACGGGAGTTCATGGGTTAGAACCCAATTGCAAGACCACAGGAGACAGAAGTTGATATAAACAGGTTTTATTTTGAAGGTGTGGAGCCCGTGGTCCGACACCATAGAGTAGGCAGATCGCCGGTGTGAGTCCCGTGGCTCGACACCGGAGGGCTGGTAAGTTGACGGCGTGATGTCCCGTGGCTCGACACCGGAGAGCTGGCAGCTTGACAGCGTGTGTAGTCCGCTAACACAACGGAGGGCAGAGCGGCGGTGTGTAGTCCGTAAACACAACGGAGGGCAGAGCGGCGGTGTGTAGTCCGTAAACACAAAGGAGGGCACGGGGGATTCCCGGACCGACGGACACCGGAGGCAGGCGCTCGAGGCAGAAGATGCAATGGGGTTGAAGCGGGTGAAAGACGGTATGACCTGACAACCCCAGACTGCAGGACCAGAGTTTATATAGTGCCAGGGGAAGCGCTAGTGGGACCTGAGTCTGGTGTGTCAGCCTGCAGGAGGTAATCGGCTGGAGTGGCTGCAGCTGTGTGGCCATGGGAGGTGTCTGGTCTGACAGGGATCCTGACAGCATGAATCCCTTCATGCTGTTTGCTAACTGTTAAAGTCTGACCTCCTTCATCTCTGTCTGTTCAGTCAATGAATAGCTCTATGACGTATTTAGCATAGCTTAGCACAACGACCGGAAGCAAGCGGAAACAAATAAATATGTTTTGTTGTGAAATGGTAGTTAATGTTAAAGTTGTTGCAACAAAGAATCGGCAACAAAACAACGGACAAACTATGAAAACTACGGTAAGCTAATGCTAACATAACTGGATAAAACTAACAATCCAAATACTTTATTCTTTAATTAATACACATTTGTGTTTTTGGTAGACGAAGACAAACTAGTTATTTGCAGCTCATTTATGTAAGATTGCAGATTTCTTTAGATTTTCAAATTATTTGGTACCCATTCGAACGGATATAAAATCTGCTCTGCTACTGAAATTGGAAGACAAAGTATATATTTCCCAGGATGCTATTCTGTAGCTTACCTTGCTTTCTATCATCTCCCTGTAAAATACATTCCTCAAGAAGGCATTACATAAACAAAAAGTGGTGGTCACCTGACATGAAGCCTTCCCTGCCTTGCCGAACCCAGCACAGATCACGTTATCTGTGATGAGAGGATAGGTGCATTTGCACTCCTTGTTTCCAACGATTGGTACTTTCACTTCCTGCAGGATGTAGGCTCCGGAAGATGAACCTATTTAGATATGTCAAAAGGTAAGATTCAAAGTGGCGTGCAAACGGAGACAAAACACAACAGTACGCATCATTTTGTGATAAAAGTGTACAACCTGTGAGCTTACCAGCTTGAGTTTTACCAAAACCAGCGACATAGCTGCTAACCCCGGTGTGGAACGTGCTCCCTGCCGAGGCTAAGCAGACCGGCTGTATGTAGTCGGTAAAATTCACCGGGGCCGACAGCTTCAGCAGACATATGTTGTTCTCGTTGGCGAAGAACTTGTATGAAGGATGGCAAACTATCCTTTCAAGTCCCCGAGACACTTCGTTAATCTTTTGACCTGACTGGTTCAGGCGGCCCAGAGAAACCGTTGTGGTAAGGAGGTCCCTTCTAGAAGACAAAGAAGTAAAAAAAAACACATTTAGTAAATGTTTTGCCTTCTACACCTAGACTATTGTGAGGAAGTGTTCAGCAACACTGCTGGTCTGCAGTTTCTCATGATGATTGTTATAATGTTGTTACTTGATACCAAATTAAAGTAACCTGCAGTATGTTATAAGCTAACAATCTATTCACAAAGTTTACGTGAGTAAACTGGCAGCAGTTGTTACTCACCCAGACAGACAGTGAGCAGCTGTCAGCACCCACTGCTTGTTAATTAGGGACCCTGAACAGAAGTGGTATCCAAAAGAGTTTAGACTGACCAACCAGGGCCAACTTCCTGGGGCCGCATCTCGACCTCCCACAATGCTGGTGTTTTTCACAGCCTGGCCACATACTGACAGAGAAAGGAGAACAAAAGAGAGTTAAACATGGAGTATTATTGGAGCTGTAACGGTTCACAAAATTCTTGGTTCGGTTCAATACGATACAGTGGTGCCACGGTTCGGTTCGGTACGTTTTCAACACAGCAAAAAAGCAGAAATGCCAAATCCTCACTGGTGTGACTCTCAAGGGGGTGTGTCTTGAAGAACATGGCTCTTCATCTCCCGTTCAGTAGTGAGGTAATGTGTCGTTACACTCGGGTAGCTTTGTGTAGTCCGTGACGTCTGTTGTCAGAGCAACACCGGGTGCTTCGGACATTTGATTCTCTGTTTGGGCTTTTCTTTTCTTTTCTTTTACAAAGCAGGAATTATGGTCTGGCGAAAGGAGTAGTGTTACGGGGGCTCAATAACATTAAGCATGTTCGTATAGCCTGCGTCTTCCACTCCAGAGTAGGGTCTCATATCCGCGGCTATAAATGGACCAATCGTCATGGCTGTATCCCTGTTTGAATCAGTAGGGAACAGCTAAACGCTGCGGGGAGAGTTCGTAGCGTGTGTGCTGCTGTTGGTTTTCCTGCTAAACAAGTTTAGCATAGCGTGCCTCCCAGAACAATGGTGCCTCACCAGAGTAGATGTTGAGAGCAGTGGCTCCACCGAGAGAACATTATATTTCACACAATTTAAGCTTCTGCATTTTCCAAATGCAATAGTATTATTCAAACGAATTGTTCAGTTTGTAATGCGTACCGAACCGAAAGTCTCGTACCGAACAGTTTGTTGAGATCTGACCCTGCTCTCCTGGCTGGCTGAGACCTTCACACGTGCTTTTCAAACAAAGGAGCAGCCATGTTCCTTCCTTTCACCAAAACGCCTGACCTGGGGTCTGCAAGAAACCTCATGCCGGATGACCACACCCCCCAGCTCCAGCAGAAACCTGATGCTGGTCCCTCATTGGCCAAGAAAGGGCCCCCCACTGGTTGTGCCACCTGGTTTATAAGCCTGAGCACAGCTAGAATTCTCTCTCTTCCGTCCAGACACTGCTGGTGTAAGGAGATCCACAAGGCTCTCTTCACTCCGGACACGCGCTGGTGTCAGGAGGTCCACAAGGCCTCTTCACTCCGGACTCGTCCAGGGGACAAGAAGATTCACGAGGAACCGCGGCCTCATCAAATCCTATCAGATCACATGTAACATTCGCTGGTCGAACAGACTGTGTTTTATTTTGAGTTTTGGATCCTGTAGTGCGAGAACGGATAACTCCTAGACCCCGTTCTACCACCCTTTTTGTGTACACACCGCCGGCAGAAGGTAACAATCTTTCCTCGCCGAACATTTCTGGGAAGGACGACCCAAACCTCGTCCCTCAGCCGAAGTTAAAAAGCGTGAGCGATGAATAGGGCAGGTCTCCTGTGTGTGTGTGTGTGTGCGTGTGTGTGTGTGTGTGTGTGTGCAAAGAGAAGTGGACTGTGGCGTGTGAGTCACTCATGAACTGAATCCTTCTTCCTCGTATTCAAACGGTATTCACATCCACTCAACCTCTTCGTCTCCGACTGGTGTCGCATGATTGAATGTGATGAGTCATCCCGGGTTGAGGACCAAGTCTGACTCAAGAATTATAATCACCAAGTGTTCTTAAGCATACTGCGGTGAAAAATCAGGTTGGCCTCTTAATGTTTTACGAGACCGTTCAAAAATCCCATCGGTGCACTCGTTAAGCTAATCGAGCCAGTCACAGCGCTGGGGACATTGTCATTTATTTATCTAATTTTCAAGCCTTAAGTCAGAACAAAAAAATGGTGAGGGCCCAAGATGCCAAACTCTGACGCTTCAAAATGAAAGTCCACAAACAAATGAGTGACAGTCTGTGCCAAATACCTGCAAAAGTGTCATTGCCACCAGCCGAATGCTGAACCATTCAGTATTAATTAGCCAGTTAGTGTGCGAAACATGAGCTTATTAGCATTATCACTGTGAGCATTTTAGCATGCCAACAATTTTCTATCTGCAGATCAGTCTGGGGGAGGCAGGACTCGACTCTTTACTCACCGTATGGCACGAATGTATTCTAAGGATAAGTGTTGGGTAAGACTCGTCAGGCATATTAAATAATACTCGGCACAAATGAAATTGCAGTCATCTGTAATCAAATATGAAAGGCGAGCGTCGCTGTTTCCTCTACACGGTGATAATAATATGTTTTGCCACACTCATTTAATGGTAATGTTGCTTCTCACTGTGACAAAGACGTCAAGCCTATCATTGTAATTGTTTATTGAGTTAAACAACTGGCGAAGCATCCGCCATACTACCGTCATCACGGCCGAGCATGTGGCCAAGTTTATGCAATATGACACAGTAACAATCAATGAAATCTATTTCATTTTGTATTAAGTAACAGCTGGCGGCATATTTCTCATGTCTCACACAACCTGTCAACACACAGACGTATAAACACCTGGTAAAGTTTTCAAAACCACCTTTGTGGTACTTTCCCACCATAATAAGTGTCTCCAGGAACCCATGTTGCCATAATGACACACACATATGGTAAAAACAATACCTGCGTCACAGCTGGTAATAATAGTGTGCACTGCAGATCCACCCATCCCTGCTATTTATTAAAGGTTAACAATTATGCAATGATGCACACTAATTGGGCAGAAGAGTATATTTTAAATGACTATACATTCTTTAACTAGAAGTGCAGCTAATTTAATTTGTTTTCAGATTATGGCAAAAATGCATGAAGATGAATCTCTTATTAGATCAATGTCTAACAGGCCATATAAGTATCGGGTGATATGTGTGTTTTATATGCCCTCTGTATTTGTTATATATGGCAAACAGCAATTCAAAGAGTAACTCAACATATTTATTTCATGAATTTATGAGAACAAAATTCTGAAAAACGTACAAGACGATACATTTCACAACCTTTTACAAATTTCCAAACTCAACATCAATCCAATCATCTGTAAGTTCATAAAATGATTAACTTTGTAATACCATACAATAGAAATGTGAAGAGAAACCCAACACCCCCTTAAAAAGTTTAGTTAATTTTTTTGTTGTCACTTCTCACCTTAATGGAGTGATGTAAAGGTGTACTCTAGGACATTGTGACATCACTGGTGGGTGTGGTTACAGGTGCAACAGGACACATTTCTAACTCATTAAAACATGTTGGTTCTGTTGTTGATGATCACAGTCTTTCAGTTCTAGTAGTTTCACTCTCCCATTACATTGAAAGAAGGCTCATTATTAAACCAGCACATAGAGGGAAATAACTAGAAGACAGAGGTAGGTCAAGTGGGAGAGATGGACCACATTTCCACCACTGTCAACGTCACCGTCATTTTCACCACTGCCAACGTCACCGTCATTTTCACCACTGCCAACGTCACCGTCATTTTCACCAACGCCAAAGACACTGCCATTTCTCACACTGCCAAAGACACTGCCATTTCTCACACTGCCAAAGTCACTGTCAAAGACACTGACATCTCTCACACTGCCA